GATATTATTATATATATATATAATTTGATTCTTTTAGTCTGAAATAAGCCCCCAGTAAATTTATATTTTCTGGCAGCAAAGATATAAAACTTGGTTTGGCAGTTGCAGTTAGCAAAACACTGGGAACTCAGGGGAAGAAATATCGCCTGGCTGCGTAGGTTGAACCAATGCTGAGAAATGGGGCTCTGTGAATCTGAATTCATCCCAATTTTTCAGAGCTACATACACAGTCTCCTTCGACTGTTGGCCAACTGACAGAAATTCAATATTTTTCTTTTAGTGAATGAAAAGCATAGTCAGAAACAGTCATTGGGTCAGGATCATATGCAAAAGCTCCTCTTGTGCTTTTGTTTCCTAATTGCTCTTGGAAGGATTTTTCGGACTGGGCTGACGCAGTTGCGTATGTGAATTTCCTGGCAAATAAGGAAGGTGACTGTGTCCAAAAGACATTTAAGAGTGTGAATTCACAGCCTTTCCATGTCTAATCAAGGAGCGTAAACCATTAGCCACATGTTCTCCATTTCCATCACATTTTTTCACACTTAAACAAAAACATGCCAAAGAAAAGGTGCTACATTTTTTAATGCCCCCAAATAGGAACCACGGGAGTCCGTTAAATGCTGTGGTCATTTCCAGCATACAAATCAATTTTCCTTGTGGTGGTGAAGTGGTGAATAATGCCTGGTTTGTTTAAAGGAGCATGACTGATTTTGGATGAAGGATCCTGTCACTTTGGCATTTTTAGTTTTATTTATTGCACGCAACTGTATAAAACCTGGTACTAGTCTCAGTGCCAGGCTTACTAGTGGAAAAGCTGAAAGGACCACATAACTCCTGGTGCAGCAAAGAGGTTCTCCTTCTGCAAGGCATTTGCTGGACTCCTGAAAAATTATTTTGAATAACATGGCAGAGAAGGATTTCATCAGTTGGCATCTACTGGCTTTATTTTTTCTTCCATTTTGCCTGTGTCAAGATGAATACATGGAGGTGAGCAGAAGATCTTATAAACCAGTGGCCAAAGTATTGCAAAGTCACCACCAGACTGGCCATAAAGGTTCCAGAAGCAGGGAAATATTGAAACAGCGGAGTCAACTTATAGAGTGGACTGTTGATAATAGCACTTCTACAGACCAAAAAGTCCTGAGACCAGAGGTAGATGATGTAGAACTGACTACCTCAGATAGAGTCCAGGTACTCTGAATTAATCTTCTAAAGATATCTTTAAAGCTAATGAGATCTTTTCTTTTTTTTGCTAAGATTATTAGTGATATATTTATGAAATTCTTTTTATTAAAGCTGTGTATTGGTCTGTATCCTGCTGGGTTGCTTTACAGGATCTTTTAACAAGCTGGTAGAAGCAGCAGTGGTTGGGGACACTGGTTTCAACATAGACAGCAGCCCTTTGTTTTGCTGAAACTGTGATCCTGTGCAATCATATATTCTGCCATACAGTTTCTTAATTATTTCAAGGTATTACTTATTTAATATATTAAAGTTTTAGATTCTGTTAGCTCATTTGGATGTGAAGGAAAATTACAGAATTTATAGAGGTATTTTGAAAGATTCAATTAGTAAAGAATAGCTCAACTTGAAAATTATGTATATAAAGGATATTCTTTTGAGCTAGAGACAAAGATAATGAAATTCTAAGTGTTCAAAAATTTTATTCTAAGGAATAGCTTGAAAAAAACAAATACTAATGTAATGAGTAGATTTAATAATATATATCAACTTGACAGTTTCAGAGGAAAACAGACTTGGAATGAAACTCTAAATCATCTGTAGTATCTGCATTTTAAACTGGGAATCTTTTTATGCCTTTTACATGGCATTTTAGGTACTATAGTCATGAGCTCACAGCAAAGGGAAAAAGGCATAATTTGATTATACATAAAATATTGCAGTCCAAATTTAAAAGGAAAAATCTGAAGGGCAGGTGATGAAGCTTTTTCTAGCACTAGGCAAAACAGAATTCCACTGAAATGAAGTTTTTGTGGATTGATGTTTTTTAGAAACAACAAGAACGTGTTTTGTTCCTATTGTTGATACAAATGTTTGAGTCCTGTATAGTTCACCTTTTATCATTGGTTTTTTAAAACTCTTTTAGATCAAACTATGATATTTTGAATTCCAAAAATCATGGACACGCAGACAAGTGTTGAATAATAACCTACTTTGTGATAAGCAGAGAGGAGATTTGACTTTAATCCTGTCCTAGGCTTGAAGAACCGAAACACATCCAAGTACGGGAATAGGTTTAATACACCACTATATTGCCTGTATTTAAATTTTATAGTGCTTTGCATTTCATATTTCTTGGGCAGGAGTTATATGTTCCTCCAGTGCACTCAGCAAAATAGATATTTAACTGTAGGTATGTTAAATTGCACTTGCAGTACATAAGCAGTGTAAGCCATCAGGTACATAGTCCAATGAGCCAGCTAGTGTGTGCGTACCTCTTTACTGCAGAGAGAATTGTGCAGCTGCATACTACAGACCATGTACTACTGGTACTTAAAGAAGATTCCCCTTTAACTCAACATAATTTCAGATAATGCAGGATTTAATACAACATTACAACTTTTTTAGGGGTCAAACTCTCCCTCACAGAAAGTGTCACTGTGTTTGGGGTGCATGTGTCTCTCATCAGAGAGTTTAATGCAACAGGTTTGGATTTGCCTGCTGGGAGAAGAGTCTGTGACATTAAAACCGAGCCCAGCGAGTCCGAGTACAGCTGATGGCAGTCATTTACCTGCCAGACTCTCTCTAAGAAGCAACCTTTGCTGCAGAAATGATGCAATTTTTGGCTTACTGAAATGAAATGGAGCACTAGCAGATGCATGACAAGGATAATCCATCACAGCGTGGCTGACGCAATAAGTATTTTCCATCTCTAGACAGGCAGAGGAGGAACAAAGGGGGCACGGACATGTTTTAATTCATGTCAAACCTCTCTCTTCCCCTTGACTCTGTGAAAGCTGTTTCACCCCTAAGTCCCTACTTTCTTGGTTACCTTAGCTCTGGCTGGAGAACTTCACCCTCTTGCTAAAGTGTTTTAACAGTCCCGTTTCCTGTTGTGGAACAGAGACATTAGCATTGGGTACAAGGCCAGTTTCCACACTGCTGGTAACTTACGTAAAATAAAATGTGCATTTCTCAAGCACAAGAACTCTCAGTGACTGGGGAGAGCCATGCCAGACACGTTCTTCCTTTGCAGGTTGCTCTTTGAAAACCTTCAGGTACTCCCCAACCTACTGGTGTTTTACCCTGAATTTTGGCATTTTTGGTTTATTTAATTCTTTGCTAGAGAAGGGACATGGAGGGCCTTAGTCACCACAGAGACATACTATTTTGCATTCAGAACAGGAGCCAAGAATGGTGGATGCACATTACTCGTCTTCTGCATTGTCTTAGACAATATAACAGAGACCCATAAAATTAATCAGGAAGTGAAAAAGGGCTGGGTCTCCAATTATGTTTCATTCACAGCTTTAAGTTAAGGGAATTTTATAGACCATCTGTTGCCTAGAACTACCTCCTACATACTAAATCATAGGAAATTCAGCAAATAGCCTCAGAAATTTTTTGAGTTTTCTATCTGTATTAGGATATTACTGTGGCAGATGCATTTCACAAGCCCTTAAATCATGTTCATGTTCTGAGAGCAATGCCAAAGATTCATTGTGCGATAAAATTTATGTGCAAATGGCTGCATAGGACACCTTTGGCAAATAGGTTATAATTAATCTCTTTGTCCCATTTGAGTGTAATTTTACGTTAGGAACAGGTTTTTCCTTTAAATGTACTCTTCATGAAGTTCTCTGTTTTTAGAGATTAAAAGAGTATCCTGAATATTCACTGTTCTTGGCAGCTGACTGTGAACATTTTTTCCCTCCTAGTCAAAGGATCAGTAAAGATAATAAGTCAATACTACTTTACGACTTGCATAAGTAATCATTTTGAAGTCAGTGGAACTGTTCTCACACAACCAGGCTGGCAGGACTTGCCTCATTTCACATGTAATAACCTGCTGAGCTTTTCGAGAGGTAAATGCCAAATAGCGTTTGGTTATGACCAGCTCTAGTATCTATTTTATGATAATAGCTAATAATGTCATCCAGGATTTCAGTACCTTGGGTAAAATCTTACCTGCACAGCAGGAGTCTCACATGCAGTCCAGTTTGCTGGATTCATACCTTCCCTTACCTATGATCCACAGTTCTAAGTTGTTGGATATTTCCAGGCTGATATGACTTATTTGCTCTTGGCAGGTGTGTGTATAGTTTGCCTTCTCATTTAAGATGAATATGAAGCACTACCAAAAAAGAGCTGGAGATTTTAATCTCAGTGCAACACTCAACATATAAGCATTTCAGGTGGTGCAAAATGCTTGCGCAATTCCAGTCCTTTTGTACTTGGCTCCCCTTCAAAGGACTGAAAATGAGCTGAAAGCAAGGCTCCTTCTTCTCTCATATTAGGAAAGCTTTAAAACTGTCTGGTGATTGTCAGTTATGTTCTTCCTAACAACTGGGAGAGATAAAACAGCAAGAAAGATACAAACAGATTCTCCAGGAACAGACAATCCAACAGGCAGAACTCATTTTTCTTATAAAATATAGACCTTATGCACAATTAAGGTAATAAGCATAGAATTGACAAAAGCCCCATAAATATGAAGCCCTTTTGCCCATTGGCAAGTCTTAACATTTCCATAACTCTTTGAATGTGATGCATATTTGTTGAGCTGTCAGGTCAGCCTTTATTCCCATGGTAGCTCCACCGTCGGCAGTTCTAGCTGGAAAGGGCATGTGTCTGTCCCATTGGAGGAGCTGCAGCATTTTGGTGGCATGAAAGGGGTTTTCTGAATCCGTAAACATAAATTCCCAAGCCTCTTGAAATTAATGAATTTTGGGGATGTGCTTGCTATTGTTCAAAACACGGGCAGAAAGCTTTAGTGTTTCAGAGTAAGCCAGCTGATGACCTTGAGGGCAGGAATACAGCACATCTATACATTCATTTGGCTCCCATCCCACCAGAGGCTCGTTTGCTGCCATTAAACCAATAGGTCTGCATTAGGCAAGTAATTTGAGGATGATGAAGATGAGTGGAAAGAAAGGGAAGGAAGACAAACAGTAGAATGATTAGAGAAAAGTAGCAGTCGGACTGGTGTAACTATCCCCCTCCAGAATTTAAGAACTGCAGATTTGCACCTCAGGATAATAGCAAAGAATTGTGGGGAAGAAGAAACAAAGAAGGAGGAATGAGAAGGAGGTAGAGGAGTAAAATCAAACCCTGGACCTCTGCCTCAGCTGACCCACTGGAAGATTTGTGACCACTAAGTCGTTGCAAGAGCCTAGTTACGAAATCCAGCCAGGATTGAGTAAGACTCCAATAGTTTAAATACAATAATTTGGGAAAGAAAAGCACTGAAACAAAACTATTATCAAACTATTATTACAGTAGCTGAGCTGTGTATAATAAACTCATTAGTTTATTCATGCTGCTATATTAGTTTCAGGATTTAAACAGGTTTTCATAGTTACACACCCACAACTACAAATAATCAAATGTCCGTAACACCAGGTGTTGTGGTCAGTTCAAACTTTTGTCATGTATCTTGGCAATTTTTTTTTTTTAGGTTCTCCCAACTTTAATAGCCTGTAAACATGCAAGTCTGGGGCCATGAACAGGAATATGCTGCACAGCCATTTTTGTACATCTCCTTCAGGCAGTCCAACACAGTTTTCTTTGTGTTTAGTAGAGGATAGTTCATTGCTGAAGGTCAAATGAAGTCCCTTGTGTCCTACCACTCGTTGTACATAGGCTTGTTTGTCAAGAAAGGTCAGCTGAAACGTGGGATCAGTGAAAAGCAGGATAGGAACCTAACTGAAATATTCATCTAACTTTCATTACTTGGTATTATTTTATTTTCAAAACCCTCATTATTTGACAGGACAAATTAGGGTTTTTTTAATATTCGTATAGCTCTTAGAACACTTGAAGAGGTATTCCTTTAAATCTTCCAAAAATAACATTTTCAGGGACAACCCAAGTATGGGAGATTTCCAGATAAGAAGTGTTTTAAAAACTTAGCAAATATATAAACAGAGAATATATAATGAAGACGCTGTAACTGATGTGCATACGATTGATGCCCTCCATGAACGAGCTATTTAAAGCTTATTTTTGTGCACTTAGCCCCCACAAACCGGACCGCAGAATCCAGACTGTAGCTCCTGCTGCCGTGGTGACTTCGGAGTTCGACTCTACCAAGGGCCCCCAGGACCTCCCGGGCCCCCTGGGATGCCAGGTAAAGATGAAGTCTAATTGATTTTTCAATCCGTCTAATTACAGGCTAAAAATTACAGGGTATTCTATGAAATACCAGAGAATGGTCCAAACATCAGTATTTGGGGACAGATTCACAAACAAGTTTTTCTATAATTTCTGGGGAGACAGAGATTTTGATTTAGACTCTAAAGTTTTTTCCAGTGAAAACCCATTTGTTATTAAAATTCAGCTCTCACAGATTCATACTGAAAGTAATCTTTTTACATTTCTAGGGCAAATTGGTCTCTCTTCTTAAAGCAGCATGAAGTTTCCATTAAAGTTGGAAGAACTGTTCCCTGGAGTTGATTATTGCAATCACCTTTGAATATCCAGCTATGTTATTGTGTACCATATTCAGGAGCTTTTTTTCATCTAGCATGCTACTAGCCAATATTTTACAGAGACCCACATGCTTTTATTCTCTCATAGAAATTTCTTCTTTTCCTTCTTTCTTCTTGTCTTCCATAATAAAAAGTACCTTTTGTTTTCCATTAAAAATACACACAGAAGAACAGGATACAGAAGAAAAGTGTATATTTTGATCTGATAATTAGTATGGAAAAAAGAAGAGCCTGGAGAAGGGAAAAAGATAGTTAGTTGCATGTTGGTGTAAGTTTGCTACAGCAGCTACCTTCGGGATTTGAAAATCACCATTCCTAAAGCAGACATAAAATGTAAATGAACATGTCACTGACTGACAGATTTGTCTTATCTTCAAAAGCTTATGTCTTCTGTTATCACAATAAAATGCAATTTCATAATCCTTCTGTCTCACAAATGTACTGACAGTAACAGACATGACAGATAACCATATAAAAAAAAATTAATGTAGTGATTTTTGGTAGAAATAGTTTATAGTAATAGTTAAATCTGACTCTTACGAAGTTAAATCTGAGTGAATGAGGTGTTTCAAGAACTAGCTTGAGTTGGCAAAATGTTGAAATAAATTGTTACTTTCACATATTTTGCATATTAGGCAAAATAAGGTCATAGGCATATTTGGTATTAGCCAGCTGTAAGCTATTCACGCATCAGCCTTTATAAAAATGCTATTGACCATTACAGAAGTAAGAGAAATCTAATGGTGAGGCCTCTTGTGCAGAAATACTGCATTACATATTAATAAATTGTTGGCTTCTCAGAAGCAGGATACAATTTTGTATTAGACCCACACTTTCAAGGCTGCAGTGGACATACTGGGACACAGCCCAGTCCCAGCTTTGCCCTCTCCTCATGCAAGGATGTATCCCAGTCACACTTTCTTGTCACCACAGGATGCCACAAATGTATGGCCGACAGCAACCTTCTGCGCCCTGGAATTTCTCTGTCTCCTTCATCTGCTGCATTTCATACCATTATGCCTGTAAGGGGAATGACAACAGCTGCTTTTCCATTAACTGAATCAAATGTCGCTTGCAGACTTCTGTTCTGAACCAGTAGAGAAGTAGTTGTGGCTTTACCTGAAAGATCATTCTAGTTATTTTTAAGAGTTATTGATTTCTCTATCCAAACAAAAATTTGCTTAATTTCTTCCACCATTTAGCTTCCTCGTTTGAAGTAAATTTTTTTCTCAATACAAAAACTCTGAAGAATCACTTAATCATTAGATTTGATCTCAAACAACACCATTCTTCTTGTAAATTTGTAACCAGACTGACTAGTCAAAGAACAAGCAGAGTGGCAAAGAATCTAATTTCAATTCAGGTAGAATTAGAATAATGATGACACTAATTAATCATCTGAGTAATTAATTGAAAGGTCAGGCTTTTGCTTCAGGCATAATAATTGCTCAGTGATTCTAGCCAACTTCAAAATTTTGTCAGTTGCATAGCTCAGTAATTTCCTCAGCAAACATCAGGAAGTAAGTAATACTGCAGATGCAGAAATATCGTTTTATAACGACCCTTTTTACGAGAAGCCATCTCAGAAAAGCTTCATTATAAAAATTTTAAATCTAGGATGCAATCAATCAACCCCTTCAAGCTAACCAGCACCCTGAGAATGCACACTTTCCCGTTTTTCACCCAGATGAGTCATTTAGCTAATTCAAGGCTACAGCGATTCTTCATTTGTGTAGACATGTTTTAAAGATAGCAAAATGTTATTCAAAATTATCTTATCCTATCCTAATTAACTTGAATTATCAGGAAATAAGTTTTTACACAAAAGGAAAAGCAAGAGTGCTTATGCAGGCTACCTGTGTCAATAGGCGGTGGCTTTCGCTTTCCTTGAGCCCCACGTCCCCTGAGGTCTTGTCCTTGCACATTTCTCCAACAATGCAATGACTTGAGACATTGGCAGTTTATACAGCAACACCAAGATAAAGTGAGGGTTAACTCTTAAACATCAATCTACATCTTTCTGGAAACTTGCTCATCAAAACCTTCACCTTCAGCTTAACCACCCAGCTGTTTCTTATCCACCGCAGCTCCATCTGGGTTTTATGGTACTGAAAAGTCCGTGTGTTGCAAACTGGTGGAAAAGGACCCTGTCATAGTTATCTGTTAAAATATATTATATGAAATTATTCAAGTTAAACAGAAAGCTCTGTTTCCTTTAAGGAAACCATGGAAACAATGGAAATAATGGAGCAACTGGCCAGGAAGGAGCCAAAGGTGAGAAAGGAGACAGAGGAGATATGGGACCGAGGGGAGAGCGTGGCCATCATGGACCCAAAGGCGAGAAGGGTTATCCTGGGATTCCCCCAGAGCTACAGGTATAAAATCTCTGGCTTGTGTTGGCTGCAGCAGTTCTCAGGTTATGGTTTTCTTCTCTGAAAAACAGCACCCAACTACTGTAAGATACTTAAGAAAATCCCTCTGTAAATTAATACAGTGAGAGACATATATAGCCCTTGTCATGACTGACAAATGTGCTTTGCCAGATCTTCCTGGAAAAGAAAGACATCAGGGCTTAGTCTTTCCTTAGAGTAAGAATCCAGCTGAGCAATGTGCAGGAAGAAACGTATATGGTTCCCTTTTAGGGCAGAAAGCCAGTATCTGGGTCATTAAAGGAGAACAGCAGGGACTATAATTTTTCTATCACAGATGTATCACATACATAACCGCGCTTCCTATGGCATATGAAAAGAGTAAAGGAGTCACTCGGGCCCATGCTTCTCAGCTCAGTCAGGCTTTGTGAGATTCTCAGAAGCATATGTATTCAACTCCTCAAAGTATGGGGTCAAAACCTCTGAGTGCAGGCAGAAGTCCCCTGGTTTTGAAAAATACTCCTCAGTAGCTATGTGTGGTTGTGTATGCCTAGATACCTTAAATATGTTGAGAAGCATGTAGGTTCTGCCTATGAATGAACTACCCAAAAGCCAAATGAACATTAAAACATGGGTTCAAGCCTGAGCTGATAAGCTCGGCTGAGGGACGGGATGTATTTGTTTGGGCTCAACACTGTGTTGACATAGTCCCATAGCTTTTGCATTAGAGCTTCTTCATGTCCCAGGAATCTGGCAGACGGCAGAGAGCTTATGTGCATATATATATACCTGCAGTACAGCAGAGACATGGTGTAGTGCTGTTCTTAAGGCAACCGAAAGTAAATGGGACTTGGATAACTAAGATCCGTGGTTGCTGTTGCAAAGGGGATTTAAAAGAGTTGTCCACACTGTATACTGCAACGTAGCAATATACGGGCAGTTCATGTGCAATAGCAGGAAAATTCACAATGAAAATAGTTTCCAAAATTATTGGACTTTTGTAATAAAGCAGAATTGTTTTAGTATTCTGAAAGAATTAACTGGAATTAACATAATAGCTGAACATCTTAAAAACATATTGTTGTAATTACATTCAACATAAGTCCTTTTGCAATTTTAAAATGAGCTATCAGCATTTTTTCCTTACATAAAGATAGTGGTAGTAATTTAATTAAAAACTGAATAATGAAAGAGTATGAATAACAAAAGCTCATATTGCAATACCTATTTCCAAGCAAAATTCCATCACTGCTTTTAACGAATGTGTTTAAAAATTCTTTACACAGTATAGCATATCATTTCTTGTTAACATCACGCTTAAGAATTTTAGAGCGGGGGTAGGTACAGGAGAAAACACTTTTGAATACAATACTGTTTTAAGATTATTTTGAAAGATTTGGCATGTCTATGTTGATCTGCTACTTCAAAATCAGATCTAGGGAGAAAGGACATCTTTTTCAACCCTTTTGATCAGCCCAAGAAAAGGAGCTTGGGGGTCAAAGAGAATGTGAAATGGAATCTAGACAAAAAGCTATAAATTCCATCAAGCTGCCATTGCAGCTGTTTTCCTTTAACACATGATGAACTTTAATGTGATCCTGGCTGAGAAGCAAGAAGTTAACAGTTTGCCATCATAGAAAATGCATCCATGCAGGGATAAGGAAAATCAGCCCAAGCTTTCAGCTCCCATCTGGAGCTCCTCAAATTTCTGAGCAGATGGCTAATGATTTCCATTGTTGGATCCAGGCTTGCTTTTGATTTTGCCTGATTTGATTTTGTTCTCATTTGGATCTGAAATCAAAAGAAGTTTGGGGTGGGTTTTTTTTAATACCAATATAGCTGGAATCTCATGAAAAACGTCATTTTTGTGAGGGGCAGTAACAACAGTAATCGAACACTTCTAAGAAGTTACAGATAGGTCACTATATGACCTTCTGGCATCCAGGTGCAGCAATTCTGCCTGTACCCTGTTTACTGACAGTCAGATGGGGGGATCACAGACTCACAGAAGACAGAACCCCCTTCCCTGCCCATGCGTGTTGGCAAGATCGTTCCCTGGTGACACGAATGGGTGGTTTTAAGGCCACGTGAAGAATCACTGGCAAAGGTATGGACAAAGGGTGATTTTAACAGAAATTTATAGAAACGTGACTTAAGAGAATTTGATGTCAAGGTTCACTCTATTACTTATTACACGGATTAAGTTTACACAGGGGAAAATCGTATCAGAACTATGTTGGAGTGATTTGTACAGAGATTGAGGGTAAAAAGGGTAAAAAGGGTAAAAGGGGGACCCTCCTGTTGAGTCACGAGGTTCAGAAGAGATCCAACTGGACCCAATCTTAGTCTCAGACTTGGACAACGGTTTATGTCTAATACAGAAAGGGATAGGGAGGACCTCCCAATGGGTCACGAGGTTCAGAGTAGACCCCTTTGCTTTCTAAACTCCTTCTCAAAAAGGAGCCTAGGTGCGGCTGGATCTACCCTTAGTCTCCCACCTGGGCAACGGTTTATGACTAAAGAGTTAAGGGTTTTAGCAGCAACTTAGAGTCTTACAATGCTTAAACATTGATCAATTTGACAGCTGCACAAAGAATTAGTCAAGTTGCTACAAATACTACAAAGATTAAAACAACTTAACTACAGGTTATACTCGTTAGTAACTGTACAGATAAGCACGCAAAAAGATCTAGATCAATCAATACATAGATATATATGCATATGGATATGGTACCAAAGCTAAATGAAAGGCCTAGAGCTAGTTAATTTATAAAGGTATACCTGTTAAAAATTCCCCTTGAGTACCATGAAATACTCACGTTAAATGCTTTGGCGTTTCCCAGCGTGCGAAGAGACCCAAGGAGCGTCCCAGCCCAAAATCTCAGTGATCTTCCAAGTATCGCAAATTTTGAGTTTGCGGACTCTGAGAAGCGTCCCACTCAGAGGGAGATTCTGGATGCAGCCTGCTGCGGTCCAGGAGAGCTCAAAGGGTCTCACTTGGTACCGCTGTTTATAGGTTTGCAAGGTGATTGGCTTTAGTCATCAGTAAATTTCCATTTTGGCTACCATCCGAGGTGGTCCAGGGTAGTAATTATGGTATTGTTTCACGGTAAAAATGGTATTGTTCCACTTGAGCTATGATCCAGGTAGGGAAATCTTCAGAGCTATCAGAGATGACGAATTATCTCTTGTTTCTGTTCCCTACCTTGATCATGTAGCTAGTGTCCCTGGTACGATCAGTGTTGTTCCCCACCTTAGCCACGCAAGAGCGCTTGGTACGGCCAAGGGATGCTTAACCGCCCCACTCATACACAACAGCTAAAGCTTAACAGAAGGTTCTGAGATCGTATCATAGCCCAGAGGAAAAGAGGGGGAGGAATGCACCACCACACCTGGATTCGCCATATTTCCCCATGAAACATTTTCCATGGCCAATACGTCTCACTGTAAGAAGTGTAACATGAAGTTGAAGCAGTTTTCACTTTCTTCGTTTCTTCTTTTGATCTCCACCACCTCTGTTGTCGTGACTGAGGGCACAGGGAAACTGGTAAGAGAGAAAAAGCACTGAATGTTGAGTCCCAGCAACTGCACTACTAGAGGACTTTAATAAAAATACTTAATGTATCTCTGAAGGTAGTTAGCAAGAAACACTAATGTGTATGAATTTTATCGAGCATTACTTATTCCACACGTTTAGTTAAAAGCAATATCCAGTCTAAATGCATTGGGGAATATATAAAAAATAATCAAATCACTTTTGTCAGGAACACCATCCATTTCAATACCAGTTTTCTGTTGCATCATTCTAGAGAGACTTAAAAGTAAATAAAATCCCAAACTAAGGTCCTGACCTGCAAACACTTGCCCATACACTTACTTTTACAGTCATGAATAGTCCAATTGAATGTAAGAAGCCTAGTTCTCTTCCAGTTTCACTCAATGGGAGTTTTGTTACTGGAGTTTAATGGCTTTGGAGCAGGCCCTAGAAGAACATCTCTGTCAGGAAAATAAACAGACCTTAAATACAGGAAAAAATTCTGTAACTGATTCCTCTACACTTGTGCACTTCATGAACGACTGCCTGAATAAGGATTGCCTTTTTGCAGGTTGCATTCATGGCTTCCATGGCTACTCACTTCAGCAACCAGAACAGTGGGATCATCTTCAGTAGTGTCGAAACCAACGTTGGGAATTTTTTTGATGTCATGACTGGGAGATTTGGTGCTCCAGTGAATGGTGAGCGTTTGCAAAACAAAATAATGCAGTTCTGGGAGTTATAGGGAGAAGCGTGGTCAATAATGATGAGAAACTAGTTAACTGCCTTTGTGCAAGGCACTGATGAGACTCACTCTGCATAGCTTTCAGGAAAAATGAAATTGGAAACTGAGCAAGCCAAGAGAGGGTTTGCCAGCCAGTGAGACCAGTGCTGGCACAAAGGCAGGAGGAAGAGGCATGGACAGAGCTGGGGAGGGAGCAGGACCATCTGCTTGGAGACCTTTAGCCCTTCAGCCAGTGTGATAACTATAGCCTTGGCTGTTGCAGCAGCAGCAGCTTCACTGTTACCTTCTCCACCTCTTGCCTCCAGTCACTCTCTTCATCCGCATCCTCCCTCATGCCAGTTCAGCTGTGAGCTGGCCTGCAACAGATGTGTGGCTGGAAATGAGGCATTACAGTTTTTCCTGAGTTATTTTTCAGCTGCATCAATCCCCCGTCTTATGCAGCTGTGGTGTAGGAAGAACAATAACCTAGAGACAGGGCCATAACCAAAAACATGTCTAAGCAAAGCCCGAAACTACTTTCCTTCACTTGGCCTTTTTCACCCTGTCATTCATTTACTGGCTGCTATGGGAAATGGTATTCAATTAAATAAAAGTCAGGCCCTCCAAGCTTGCTGTAGCACATCTTACTGACAGTTAGGGGTGTGTGTCCTCACAGCTGTTTCCTTTTGAGGTTAATGTATATGTGGATGTCAATAAACTTTGGCCCACAATGATGTAATGACTGTGATGCAAACTCCAAGCTCCCATTGCAGGGTCAATGCTACAGGCTCACTGTTCAGGAACCAGGAGCTTGTCTTCTCGCCTTGGGGAGTCTTGTAGAGCTCATGACACATAATACGGTTGCACTGACGACATTGTTGGCACCTTTCAGACAGAGAAAGCGCTAAAAAGAAAAAGGGTGATGGCAAGGGTGTGTTGTGCAAGAAGAGAAAACGGTGGCTATGTCTGCATAGTGGTGTTTAGCAGTGGGTGCTGCTAAAACCACTCACGCCCTGCCTGACCTGGGCGACATGCTGGCTGTTTGACAGCCTCTGAGGCTGAGCCCTGGCTGGCCTGGAGGCTGCCCTTTTGGGAAAGGGTAAGGAAAAAAAGGTGAGAGAGGGGTCACTAGTCTCAGCCTCTGGGAAATTTCCCTTTCAGTGAGGAGGAAGGGATGAGCAGTCCTGCCATGTTCAAATACAGTCATTTCTCTGGAATAGGATGTGGCCAAACCCTGCCATAGGCAGAATAAAAATGAATCAGATTTTGGCACACTATAAGCAGAGGCAAAATACCCACTGACAACTGGAAGGTAATTTTGGCCTCAGCTGTTATGTTTTCTAAGCAAGAAGCACAAGTCTGTAGCATGACTACCTCCCTCTATGAAGCAAACACGTTGTATTTGGTAATCTTTTCAGGGGTGTATTTCTTCACCTTCAATATGATGAAGCATGAAGATGTGGAGGAAGTGTACGTGTACCTGATGCATAATGGTAATACAGTTTTCAGCTTATATAGGTAAGTGAACGGCCAGGCAATTTTAGTGCTCAAGACATGTTTGCACAGATGTGATAGCTTGCTCACACTTCAAGAAACATGAAATTGTTCATTTTTTGAAGAAATTCTGTAGGGTAAAATAAAAAACAAAGAAAAACTATTGTATTTTGCCGTCCTCAGCTTGCAAATTTGGATCATACCCACCACAGATCCTGGACCTAAAATTCAGGCTTTACTTTAAAGGTGGAGAGCATTGAAACTGCAGTAGTAAGGATGAGTAAGAAGAAAGGTCCTCCATTTACTGGCTTTGTTATCATTAGTACACCTGGAATAAAAAGTTTCTGAACCCTTCATGTTAGCTGGAGGATCATCAAGAGTAGAACTCACTTCTAGCTTATCAACTTCTGTAAGGACCAGGTCAAGAAGCTTGTAGCCAGATGGATATCTGAAAAAGATACGTGTTTGGAAAAAACTATTAGTTCTTTAATACCAACCAGAGGTCTAATGGTATTAGATCTGATGAGTTTAGGTCTGAACTTCTCTCTTGAGCCTGAATAAACAGACACAAAAGCTTAGATTGATCACACTGGATTTTAGGCACTTACCTGATAGCAGGTTCATTTAAGCTGTCAAGGTTTCTTCAACAGCCATACCTGAAGCACCACCAAAGGGTGCTTCATTCCCAAAAGATCTTTCCTGCAAAAGAAAAAGCGCCCAATTTTTTTCCCCTAAACATTGATGCCAGAAAAGGCAACAGGTGGGAACCAAACCTCACTCAAAGCCAGCAGGTTAGCCCCCATCAAAAGCATCTACCTTCCAACGAAAGGCCTCAGGATGGAGTGAGCTGCCTGTCTCTGCTCACTGCCCGTGCTGGGAGCACAGGGGCTCAGCTCACATGAGACTCCTGACCTGGCAGCATTTGAAATTAGCTGGGATGAATCCAAGGAAAGAAGAGCATCACAGGAAATCTGGAGTGTTGTGATGAATGAGCAGAGTTTTATTTTAAACAACAAATTTGTTCCTGTGCCCTGGAAAAAAACCCGTAAGTTAAACTTCCAGAATTTCAGAAAGGAATGAAATGATGCAATTAGGTAAGGTGCAAAATTTGACTAGGAGATTAAATGCAGAAAGATGCCAAAATTTCCTCATAAAGCTGAAAAAATGTTGGCAAGCCTTTCAGGGAAGTTTTGCTCAGGATAGCAATGTACTTTCTTGGATTTTTTTTTAAAGTTGTTTACCTGATGATTGTTGAGAAACAAAAGCTGACTTTTTATAATACTCATCCTTAGCTATGAATCAAAAGGGAAAGCGGACACTTCAGGAAACAGCGCAGTGCTGAAACTTGCCAAGGGAGATGAAGTTTGGCTGCGAATGGGGAATGGAGCCCTCCACGGGGACCATCAACGCTTCTCTACCTTTGCAGGGTTTCTTCTTTTTGAAACCAAGTAAAAAGAGAAACAACCCAATACATGTTTATCTGAGTAAACTTCCTTTTTGGAACTGGTATTTTTCTCTGGACTGTGGAATAGCACCACAACACTGAAAGATCAAGAAGGCTTGTTTTGATGCAATGCGTTGCTATTTGTGCATCAGAGATGAGCTAAATACATTGGGTAGTTGACACACAGATTCACAGAAGATGTATTGTCATCTGGGCTGTATCTAGTGAATCATTAAATGTTGCTATTGCTCTCTTCTCCAAAGTGACTGAAAAACAAAGGAAAAGGAGTTTAAATAATTCAGAGAGCAGTTTACGCAGTAAAGTCAATTTTGTCTGTAAATACACTTTAGCTAAGTATATGTCAGGAACTGAACAATTGATTCACGTTTTTCTGTTCATTTATTCAGTTCTTATTACATGTTCATTTAAGTTTGCATCATGGAAACAGGCCTGAATGAATTATAAGTAGGCTTATCTGAGACCAGGTTTAAAGGAAGACTGGACCTGAATAAACTTTACAAATAGAACAAAAAAATGTGAAAATAAAGATGTCAAGGATTCAGGTTTATTGTATTCCCATCTCAAACCTCTGAAGATGTATCTGGTGTCATTTTTCGTAGATTTTTGGTACTTATTTATGCGCTCTCTCTCTCTCTTAAAAAAGAGTGGTAGTAACTCTTGCCTTAGTAGCAGCTTGAAGCTAAAGTAATTTAGCCCACAGTGTGCAGGGGATCAGACAGGGGAACAGTAATGTTTCTTCCTAGCCTTCAAATTGTTAAAACTTGATATAACTGAATGCAAGGTGTCAAAGCAGAGGTATATATGCTGGAGGAGTTGGGATATGCCACCAGCACAAAGAAACACATGCTTTGTGGAGTTTGGAGCTCTTTTAGAAGGATGTACCTTTTAATATTGCATATTTACTTAACAGTGAAGTTGTTGATACAGTTTTCCTACCAGCCTTCCAAGAAGCAGTATTTCAGGAAAAGACACTGCAGCCTGGCACAGCAGCAGCTAACCCAGTTCAATATTTAACTGGTGAAAGCAAACGCTGGCTGGCTCAGAAGTTCTGGTCACAGTAAACTGGGCCATTCTTCAGCATTAATATTTGCCAGCAGCTTTTTAAAATTTGGGTACCTGAAATCCTGTCTTGCTATTTTCTTTTCATCGGGATCAGCACCAAATATACTAAGCTGAAAGAGGGTAGATTTAGGTTAGATATAAGTAAGAAATTCTTCACTATGAAGGTGGTGAGGCACTGGAACAGGTTGCCCAGAGAAGTTGTGGATGTCCCATCCCTGGAAGTGTCCGAGCCAGGCTGGATGGGGCTTGGAGCACCCTGGTCTAGTGGAAGATGACCCTGCCTGTGGCAGGGGGGGTGGAATCAGATGATCTTTAAGGTCCCTTCCAACCCAAACCATTCTATGATTCTAAATGATTCTATGAATACTGAAGTTTGAATGTATCTTCTGCACATTCTGGCTCTCCACATACAAGCTAATGAAATACAAATTACATTTTAACAGATATTACATTTTAACCAGACATTACCTGCCATTAATGTGTAACAAGCAGGGGGGGTAGGAAAACATTTATTTGAAATTCTTTTATACTGGGTACAATACCAATAGCATGACAATAGAGCAAAAATCTGCCCTGTGAATTTGTATGTCCTTGTACACCTTCCTAGTGTAGGTAAACCACGTCTTACGATGAAAAATGCATGTTCATACTTGATGATTATGACTTCTGATTTTTTAGTTTTATGCCTCAACCACTGAAATTATTAGCTTTAATGAACTGTCGTCTGACGAGTTTTATTGTTTCTTTATGAACTTGGGTCAGGTTTGCACCACACAGGTTTTCAAAACCGGAGACCATGTTATTTTAATAAGCATTTTAGTAAAATTCTGGCATGCCTTCAAACTAAAACCCATCCACCATGCAATCAGATAATGTTATTCTTTTGGAATAAGTGCACAAGTTGTATGAGATATACGGCATCATGAGCTAATTTCACGGTAGGAAAAATCTTGAAAAAAGTATTTCTTGTTGTGTTAGGAATGTTTGCTTACTTTGTAACACATACATTTAGTCAATAAAGTTTAATAGTCATAAAACTATACTGGTTTGTTCATATCTATGTTTACCAAGGACCTTACCATTTGGAGACTATGGAGATATATTCTTAATATGTATTTTCTAAGCATTCATTTTGCTACTGTTCGAGAGAAAGCCAGCACTAAAGGTCAAAATATATTTATTTTACACGTGTGTGTATATATATACACACACACACATGTGAAATTTAAATCCCTAAGGTTTCCTTTGGGGACTTAATTTTCCTTTATGGCATGGCCATTTTAATCTATATTGGTCAGAATAAAGCACTTAGAAACCATGATACATACACTCATTTTAAGCTCCTTTGCATTATCTCTCGTAATGGCCAAGGTATAAAAGAAAGCCAAGTTTTGCTATTCTCATTTTACGTTGTTTTCACAAGTTTTCTGCAACTTGGCCTGCAAAGAGTGGAAAGCAATTAAGAATCACCACAATAGCTTCTGACAAACAAACAGCAGCATGGGCTCAGTTCCAAGGTTAAAGCTAAGAGGTTTTTTACATCAAGGTTGAAACTTCCTAGTTTTTGTATGAAATCTCTGCAGTCTTTTTTCTGCAAAGCTATTGCATGCAATCTCTCCTGACTGAGTGTTGTAATACTTTACAAATAAACTGTTAATCTACATATTAATTTCAAAGCTCCTTCAAAAGATAGCAGCTGATGTAAAAATCTCTGTGTTGTGTTCCTGCTCCTCAAAATTATCACATTTTACATTCAGTAAGTCATGTGGAATGTATGTTTTTTTCTCAGAAACATTTATGAAAATTAGTCATCTTTCCATTGCTGCTGCTAATTGAAAGCCTCTTGCTTAGCAGATGCTCAAGGCAAAATGTCTTCTCTGAGAGACTTTTGTCCTCTGTTATAATATAGGTCGTATCTTGTAATTTGTGTTACGAGTGAGAAACTCAAAAGCCGCAATTTGGAGTATACTTAATGGGTTCTTGTCTTTGCTAAGCTGAATCTATCTCTCTCTCCCCCACTCCATGAGCTCCCAGATTTAACCAAAACTTGGCAAGAGCTGCAAGCCCCTGCCTGCCACAGAGCTGTGGTTTGGTAGGCGATATTCTGCCTCTGTAGTAGGAGCTGGCATCCTAGCAGGAGAAAACACTGCCTCACACAGAGACAAGTTGAGCTCTGCTCTGTGTGAAACACCAGCCCCGACTCTTGGTCTTCCCTTCCCCCTGAGACCCAGGGACTGCTGTCCTTCCCCGTGAGACCCTTGCAAGGCAGCAGCTCTCATCTCCAGCTGCCTTAGGAGCGTTAAGGGCTGCATTTTGCAAAATAGGGCTGTGTGGCACTTGAGAGATGCTGGTTGGACCCCCTTGGCAGAGGTAAAACACAACTTCCTTGCAAAAAAACATGAACTAGAATAAAACCCGATTGAAGGAAAACACCTTAGGTCTGGGTCCCAGTTTCACGAGTGGTGTTTAAAGAAAGCGGAAAGCAGCTCAGTTTACTCCAATTAGAAATCCTTGAGAAAAAATCTATCTATGATTTTAGTTTCAGAGGCTAGTCCATAGCCTGAGGGTGACTGAGTTGATTCTGAGGAAGCAATTTAGACTGACAACAGTTTGCAGCCTCAGTCCCACTGAAAACCTTGTGAGCCAAAGGGACGGCTTTAAATAAAGTAACAGTTTTCTAAAGGGAAAATAAGGAACACACTCTTCACCCAGAACTTTCATCTTCCCCATAAAATTTTGTATTGAGTTTCCTACACTACACCTTACTGCTTTCTGAAGCAGTTTTTAATAAAAGTGGTTTTTCATTAAAACTGATTTTTTCTCCTACTTAGCTCACATTATTAAAATGATGTTTTGTGCTCAGAACCAAAAAAATCACATAAGGACAAAACATGCAGGGAGTCGCTGAGTGGTATGTGAGAAGGCCCACGGTTCTTTGTTTTGGTGAATCAGTAGCAAAATTTCTCTATTTTGCAGTTAGTTCTGCTTCAGCAGCCAAAGGAAATAAAAACTGACAGTGATCAGTTCAGATTTAAAAATCTGAGGCAACAAAAGGAATTGTGCAAAGCAGTGCTCCAGGCAAGGTGTCATATTCGGATACCAGTGAAGAAAGACACAAACTCTAGAAACTATCTTCATAAATTAAACGAACTCAATACAATGTGCATTTCTTAGTATGACCAGGTTCCCTCCTACACCAAAGGGCAACAGCTCCTTTAGTCTTTGGGCCAAATCACACAGTTCTAGCGGGACTCAGAGCATCTGCCGTGCCATGTTAATTTTCATTATCAAATACAGTTTCCTTGATATTTTTTCATATCAAAATAGTTTCCTTGAGGGAATTATGCAGCACAGCAGTAGCAGCAGAGAACAGCCATACTTCCCACGCTTCATCCCCCTGCTCTCTCGTTAAATTGATACTAAAACCCAAAACAGTGCCAGAGTCTATTCTCCGGCCCAGAGTTACCATCTGACTATGTTAATGCTAATTAAACTCTCTCAGCTGCCATAGCAGGGTATCTGCTTGCAAAACTGTCGTTGGGATGATCCCTGGTTTGTGCTATCTTTCAAGTAGTACTCAAGAAAAGTTGGGGAGATAGCTACTTGTCATGGGCTAAAGGCATTCTCAGGACCGTTCTGCTAACGTAGTTGTATAATCCATCAATTTTGGTAAGACAACACTACAATTCAGCAATTCCCAGACATGGAAATTCCTGTTGCTGTTTAATTCGCTAGTGTATACATCGTCCCTGAGTACCTTTCAGGCTGAACAAGGACTGATAATAGGTGTAGGAAGAGAGTATGCTGGCTTCTTGACATTGCAAATTCCTCCCAACAGAAATGACTGACTAGGTCACTCTTTTCTACCACTAGACTGATGAAATCAGCACATAGAATTTGGCATGAACACTGTAAAGATGACAGT